CAAAGGGCGTCGCGCATTGCTGGGACTCGGCCACACACGTCCGCCATATCCCTCTACCCCGCGCACCCAAACCAACTTGCGGCCGTGCGGCCCTCCTCTCGCTCGGAGAGAGGGCGGTTCATGAAGGTGAAGCAGAAGCCTCAAACCATCACCGGGCGCTCCCGCGCAACGTCAAGCTGAGCTTGAAGCAACATCAAAACAAAGCGGGTGGCAAAGCGTACACCAACGTGGTGGCGGCATTTGCAGTATGACGTGCAACTTCTCTTTGCAGGTCTTCTACGCTCTCCATGCAAGTCGCCTGCTCACATGATGGTAAACTAGGCAAACCTCCAAGACCCAATCAAGCAAGCAGCCAACCAAACAAACAATCAAAGAAAGAAACAAACAGACAGATAGACAAACAAACTAACCCACCAACTAACTAGCTAGCTAGCTAGCTAGCTAGCTAGCTAGCTAGCTAGTTAACCAACCAACCAACCAACCAACCAACTAAGTAACTAAATAACCAACCAACCAACCAACCAACCAACCAACCAACCAACCAACCAACCAACCAACCAACCAACCAACCAACCAACCAACCAACCAACCAACCAACTAGCTAGCTAGCTAGCTAGCTAGCTAGCTAGCTAGCAAGCATTGAGACCAAACAAAGAAACAAAGAAACAACAAAATAAACAGAACACAAAGGCAAGGTCAAGAAAACTGAAAAACAAAATTAAACTGAACAAAGCAAGCAAGCAAGCAAACAAACGAACAAACAAGCAAGCATGCAAGTAAGCAGGCAGGCAGGCAGGCAGGCAAGCAAGCAAGCAAGCAAGCAAACAAGCAAGCAAAGAGACAAATAAACGGAAAAACTGAAACAAAAGAACAAAGGAAAAACACAAAAAAGAAGAAAAGAAATAAGACAAGCAAGCAACCAATCAAACAAACCGACAGACAGGCAAGCAGACGAACAAACCAGGATTCCGAGACTGGGAAATAGACAAACAAACAGTCAAGCAAACAGACAAACAAACAGCAAGGAAGCAAGCAAGCAAGCGAGAGAGCAAGCAAGCAAGCAAGCAAGCAGGCAAGCTAGCTAGCAAGCAAGCAAGCAAGCAAACCAAGCAAACCAAGCAAACCGAGCAACCAAGCAAACAAGCGAGCAAGCCAACCAAGCAAACCAAGCAAACCAAGCAAGCAAGCAAGCAAGCAAGCAAGCAACCAAGCAAACATAGCAAACAAACAAACAAGCAAACAAGCAAGCAAGCGGAGAGACAAGCAAAGAAACACGTGTGTCTGTGTATATATGCGCACATCCTGCTTCCTCTCTAAGGCGAGCGGCCGACCTTGGGGTAGTTGCGCTTGAACTGCGCCGCCACACCCACACAGCTGAGACAAGGCACCCCGCTGGTGTGGAAGGCCACCTGGCCACTCACTTCCTGGCCCTCCTCGCCGGCCGAAATTTTCGGTGGCGAGGGGCAAGAAACGCAAGGCTCACAATCAGGATTGGGTGGGCTCAGCTTGAGTAGAAAGTACTTTCTTTCTCATTCTCTTCTAGAACAGGGAACACTATCTATCCCCGAGTTCTGCAGCTGTCACGCAATCTGAGCAGTTGTCACCTCTTCTATTTGCCTTTCTTTCCTTCTCTTCCTCTCTTTTTTGCTCTTGTCCTCTTCTCTTCTCCTTCCGCTCTCATCTGCATTTTTCCCGACAGCCTCTCCTTCTCTTCCTTTCTCTTCCGCTCTCATGTGCTTGTAAACGACACGCTTTGCCTGCGCTCAGCGCCAGTACCAGAGAAGTACTTTCCAAACCTCCTTCAATGAAGAGAAGAGAAAAGTCTGCAGCATGACTTTCGGGTGCCCTTCTGCTGGACCAAGACTGCTAATGACGAGGTCTTCGGAAAAGGGGGCGTGCCTTCCTGACTGGAAAACCGGGCACCTGGACAACAGCACCACGGGCCCACAGGAAACACAAGGAATGGACCGCAAGCATACCCTTCCCTGCAAAATCATGGGGCCTCATCCTGGGTATCCGATGCTTTCGGCCTCATCTTGGTCTCAACTCCAGTCGTGTCCTCACCCCCGAAGATCCATGTGACGGTACCTCTGTTGGATTGCAGGATAAGAAAAACACGGCATTGTCCTCATTGATTCTGCCCCATAAAAGAAAAACACCGCGTTGTCCTCATTGCGGACCTGAACATTATCCACCCCAAAAGAAAAACACGGCATTGTCGTCCTCTTGGGTGACCTTCTTCAGCATCTCATGGGTCGCCAGCAAAGCCCGGCACCTAAGCCCAATACAGAAACCAAGAATCAACCAGAGAACGGACTGAAAAAACAACTCGGCCCTTTATACCTCGCTCAACAAACCCAAGGGGCTTCCGTCAGGCTCTATGTTCGCGTATGTTCAGGCTCATTGCTCTGTGCAAATGGCCCAGTGCTTCATGAGAGTGGTTTTTTGTTTGCATTGCGTACCTGCAAGTACCCACATCCTGCGAACCCTCATGCAAGGAGCATCAGCTTCCACCAAGCATCTAGCCGATCCTCATTGAATGTCGCAATGCACCGAGGTGAGGTCAAGGACATGTTCAGGTATGGTGCTTGGAAGTACAGAACGACACACCACGCGGCTTCTTCCCCGAAATTCTGTCATTGTGGTGAACCGTTTTGCTTTGGCTCCTGTGGCAAACAGGCGCTTTTCGCATGGTTTCCATGGATCGCGAAGCCCACCAAAACCAACAGGCGGTTTTGGTGTCAGAGAGTCGCTCTTCGCCTGCCCCGCTCTTGGCTTGAAGCCCAAGCGCCAGGCCGAAAAGCGAACCGGGCCAAGCAAACCCAAGCTGGTCATCCCTTCGCCCGGGAAAAGAATCCTGAAAAGAAGGAGCTGGCGTCTTGCTTTCTTGGTGTGCAGAGACAAACGAGGACATGATCTGTCGACCCTGCTTTCCAACATGCAACATCCTCTCGTCAAACTTCGACCCCTCCAAATTGTCTTCGCTTTTGCCGGTTTTGTGCGGGAAAACGAAGGAGGACCTTCGAAAGTCATTAAAAAGTCATTAACAAGTCATGAAAAAACAACTCATTAACAAGTCATGAAAAAACAACTCATTAACAAGAAGATAATAATAATAATAATGAAAAAAAAAGCCAGCCAAGCCTGGCCCTTTTTCAAGCTGGAGCCGCTTCCTTTGGCCGAGCGGATCGGATCCCAGGCGCTCCGCGTCGCCGCTGCGGCCCGCCCGGCCCACGGCGGGGGAGTCCGCCTTGCCCTGGCCCAGCCACACCACCTGGGAGTGTCGCTGGGAAGATGAAGGGTCGAAGAGGTGAAGAGGTTGTTCTTTTGTTCTTCTTGTTTTCGTTTTCCTTATTTGTTTGCTGGTTTTTGTTTCTTGTTGTTGTTGTTGTTTTCCCTTATTTTTGTTGGTTTTTCTTTATCTTGTTTTTCCTTATTTTTGTTGGTTTGTGTTTCTCTCTTTTTTCTTGAAGGGAACCCGCAAAAAATGGCTTGCCTCTTGTGCATTCTGTTAGTTTTCCTTGATAACCTACCTGGGTGTCTCTTTTTCGAAGGGGACCCCACAAGAACATGGTTTTCCTCTTGGGGTGTCTTGTTAGTTTTCCTTGATAACCTACCTGGGTGTGTCTTTTTCCAAGGGGACCCACAAAACAATATATCGTGGGTGTCCTTTTGCAGTTTTCCTTGAGCAGTTTATCTTGGGTGGATCTTTTTTGGAGGGTACCGCAGAAACCCAAAGGAAAGCCGCCAATTTTGACACAGACCAAGCAATAGCCATGGTTCCTGAGCACTAAGTACGCTGCCCCTTCAAGTGAGAGGATGATCAAGCCATTTTAAGCCAGAAGTGTTCGAGCCTGAGAATCAACGTCTGTCATATGTTGGCATTTGATGGCTAGAATGGTCTAGCAGGGGTGTCACTGCAAAGTACATCAATGAAGGTCCTTGGGTTTTGAAAAACATGCCCTTGGCGTGAAGCAGAATGAATACCAACAACGAATGTCCACAAATGCTCCACTTCAATGATAGCAGCTCTGAAATTTGGACACTGATCTCAAGCCCTTACTTTTGCCCGGACCATGGCCACTTGCGATTTCGGCGGCAGAAAAAGAAAGCCGCTTGGACTTCAGCGCAAAGCAAGCCTCTGCTCCTGAAGTGAAGCCGAAAAATCAGCCCACGGTCTATCCTTCGCTAGCGATGGCAGTTTATCGCTCGCGTGAACATCAGTCTGGACATACCAAAGGCTGTCTCCGCCCGCCCAAGCGAACTAGCTCGGATCTCAACACCTCGAGTCCCGTCTGAGCAAAGTCGGATGGGCATACTGGGCTCAAGCAAGGTTTGTTGAGCAGGGCCAGCACAGCATGATCTGCCAGGCGCCTTAAAGCATCTTGAATTGGAACCCGTAGCCAGAAATAGCTAGGCTACCTTTCAAGAAAAACTCCGCAAAGCTCTATTTGAGATAAGCACTGCTGTGTCAACATAGGGGGACCCTAAAGATCATACTTTCCTTTTGGAACCTGCTGAACCAACCAAAAAAAGAAACGCACCTTCCAACAACAAACACAACAAAACAAAACCAAAAAAAAAGAAGAACAAAAAAAAACACTCCAAACAGGCAAACAGCAGGCAAAAAGCAAAACACACACACACACACACAAAAACACTCCACAAACAAAAAGACACACGCCGCATGCCCTGGATCTGCGAGGCGTCCGCTTCCGAGCCGAGCCGCCACGAAGTCGGCCTGGGCGTCCTCCTGGGCCGAGGCGAATGCGCTGGTGAAGATGGTCCCCGGGTCCTTGGAGCGGATTCGACGGATGCGCGCTGAGCCGTGCCGCTCAGAGAAACGGCTGGGGCTGTTGACCCCTTTTGCTTGCTTGCTGAAACGACCCTGCAAAAAGTTTGTTTGACTTTTTGGGGGCTTGATGGAAAACACCCCGTTGAAGTCCAAAGATCCAACCCAGTAGCAACAAAGCTTTGGTGCGACGACTTCCAACGGGTCACGCGAAATGGACATGAAATTTAGAAAGGTCCGCCACGTTTCACGAAAAGGACATGAATGCGTTGGACGAAATGGACATGAATGAGAATAGAAAGCTCCGCCACGTTTGAGGTCCTTAGCAAATTAGCCGCCCACGGCTCCTGAGGGGCGAAGTCTAGCGTGAACATGGCACTTGTGAAGTCCGGATGACATTGTACTCTAAACAATCGAAGAAATGGAAGGGAATTGCCGAGCTTGGCTGTTACCAATCTTCAAGCACAGCCGACTTCTCGTATGTTCAAACCTCACCCAAATCGCAAATCATCTCCCCTGGAACAGCGTCGTCAAACAGCGCCCTTTACTGTGAATATGAAAGCCTAAATGTATTACAAACATGACTATCCCATGATCGTGAGGTAACTTGGTTCAATAGTACCCGACAACTCAACCAACATGTTATGTGTATATATATGTACTGTATATGTATGTATATGTATATATATACACATATGCTAGAGAAAAAACTGCGGATCTGCTCTACAAGGGGCTTCTCGACGTCAGCCGATCATTTTATACAGACACGCCAACCCCTCACCGACTCAGCCCGCCCTCTCCCCCCAATGCGCACCTACCGCAACGCGCACCTGCCTCAACCTCCCCCCCCCCTGCTGGCCTCAAGATCCTGGCTGCCCACTCGCAGGCGATAGCGCCGCGCCACGGTGGTGCGCCGTGCGTTGGTGGTCCAGCCTCCGGCAACCCTCCAGGCACGGATCAGATGAAACGCTTGGCCATGGTCAAAAATGGTTATGGGTTAAAATCCAAATCGTACCCCCAGTGAACATCAACCAATCCAACCACTAAAATAGGTAAAATAAGTGGTGAATTCACCTACCCTAAAATGGTACCATTGGTTTTGACCCACAGCCAAATGAGTTCCGTCCCCAACCATTGCCGTGGTTTGTATGCCCATTTCCCAGTGGTGCCCCCTTGGCCGCTACTCAAGCCGTGTGAGGCGCAGAACGGAGCTGTGATTTGGCGCCTTGCCGCCGTGCCCTGCCGTGACCCTTGCCTTGGTCCTAGTGACGCACCCACTCGCAATCAAGCTCCCAGCCCACCAAACACCAGCCACATCAAAGCTACACCCAGAAGTCTCAAGTCTCAAACCAAAACAGAGACACAAGCACCCAACCGAACCCAACCTCCCCAAAGGTCACCAAATCCAGCGATCCGGCCATGCCGGCCATGCCAGCGACCGGCCTGGCATGGCCATGGCCTCCTTCACCTCCCAGGGTTGGCCCTCGCAGAGCCCCAGATCCCGGAAGAGGGACGCCGTGTGCTCGTAGCCTTCAGTTGGCTTCGGGCATGGGCGGCGCTCTCTCGTTCGGGTCTTTGAGATTGCAGGCTGGTCTTTTCTGTGTGCAAACGGAAGGGCGAGAAGGCGCGAGAAGACGCGTCAAGTTTGCGACGAGAGGGTGCGCGTCGGGAAGAAAATTCAGGGAGATGGCCAAAGCCAAGGGTGACAATGAAGGGCTAAAGTCATACTGCGCCCTGAGAAAGGTGAGCCGAAACAAGGCTTGTGCTGTTGCCGTGTTGATGCTTGTAAACGTACCCGGCCTGGAAACAAATTTGTATATCCGAATCCGCCACCTGGTGTCGTAAAGACATGGGCGGTGCAGAATGGCAAAAAATCGGTTGCAATGTAAATGAAACCAACTTTGACATTTAAAAACTGATTTGTGGCAGTAGGCAAATCCCATACAATTCCAAGGCAGACATTGCAGAACAGATGCTGAATGTGTCCTTGCCTTGCCAATCCTTACGCAGCAACACAAAATGTCGGGCGGGCAGCCACGTTTTTTTGCCAATCGGTAACCTTTGCGCCTGAAGGGACTAAAGCCCTTTTTGTTTGGAACTCTCGAAGCCTCCAGGAACCCCTTTCGTCGAACCCCGAGCCCTAGTCTTTCCTATCGGCGTGAGGCATCGCTCGGCAAAGCTGAGGCTGTTCCGCGACCCGAGGGCCCCGCCAAAAGTCGTGAGCCCCAGGCCCCGCAAGCGCCGCTGGTACTCCTCCCGCGAAAGCGTGCGGAAGCGAGAGGGGGACCCGACTCGAATCGGATCCGAACCCTGTTGTGGTCTGGCGACTGGGCCGAAAAAGACCACGGAAAGCTGGGCTCCTCTCCTCCTCTCGGGTGCTGACTTCCCATGCGCAGGCTTTGCGTGGGTTCAAGGCTCCGACCCACAAAAACAAATCTGCTTCTAGCCGGAGGACCTCAAGACTCGTGTTGCGCAGCGCTTGCCTTGCACGAACACCTCAGGTTTTGGTCAGCCATGAGAGATCTGGGAAATCGGTGCGCGTCAGGATTGTTCTGGCGGTGGCTGTCCACGGCCCCGTTGGTGGCAAGTGAGGTCTATTCTCTGTCTATTCCTTTTTCGTTGTCCCATCCGGTGGTCAAAAAAAGAAATATATATATATATAGCCCCATGAGAATTAATCGAAACCATGAAAAAGACATTGTGTCCATCAAAAACACCATCACCATTGAAACCCCCCCATCAAAACCACCCTTGTAGTAGTTCTAGGGCCTAGGTGTTCTATCCGCCCCAGTGCCCCAGCCACCCCCTCGCGCGGGTCGAGCCAGTCCTGCGCATCCCCGAGCCCCCGGCGCTGCGGCAGGCCGGCGGTGAAGAGCTGGTACCTCACGTGGGTAGACAGGGCTCACAGGTGAAAATCCACAGCTCAAGGTGTCAGGATCTGCCAAAATGGGGACCCAACAACATGGGGAGGGGGGTGCTTTTGGAAAGGAGAACCTCAAAAGAAAAACACACACACACAAACACACACTTGAACCTTTCCACCAGGCACTGCAAAAAATTTGCTTCTCCGAACCAGGGTGAATGCCAGTTGGGACCTAGCCCACAACACCATCAAATCGCCCGTTCGGATGTTCGCGTTGGCCCTTTCCTCGTGCTGGTGGCGGCTTGCTTTCGACTCCCAGTTTTGGGTCTTGGAAAATGGAGCCGCAGCCCTTTCCAAACATGAGGCACTCCTCATAGGCGCCGCTGAAGCCTTTGGAAGGGTCAAGACGTCGCATCACAGAGTTCCTGCTAGTTTGACCCGGGCATCCAGGGTTTCTGTTGGCTAAGGATATCGCCAAGCTGCGCTGCTCAAGCAAACAGGCCACTCTTCGGAAATCTTGCTCCGTAAGCAAACACGGCAACGCCCACCAATCACTCCTCTGCCTCTGGTTTCGCAACAAGTTCTTTCAAGAAACAACACAAAAACCATAGACGTGCAACGAGACATGTGCAGCAGGAACAAAACCATTCTTCGAAGAGCTGCACCAAAATTCCTGGCTACTTTTGGACGCGCCCCAAAAAAAACCGAAGGTTTCTCCGCCATCCCCCGCTTCTTAGGCCGGGAAGCCTGGAGCCTTCGACTTTCCGGAGCCAAGGCGCAGCTCCTGGCCGTAGCGGAAGACCTGCTGCCGCAGCGTCTGCATCAGCTCCCCTTCCGCCCGGAAGTTGGCCTCGTAGAGCGAGTCGCTCAGCATCCTTGGCGCCCGAGCTCGAGCTCGCGGAGCGCGGAGCGCGGAGCGCGGAGCCGAGATCGAGATCCGGCGAGACCCGGTTGAGAAGCTTGCCGGGTGAGTTGCCGGCTCCGAGTTGGTTGAAGCGCAACAATCGGCGCAAGGCGCGCATCCGTTGACTCACCATAGAAGGTAGGGCCCTCGATGTGACCTCCCCACTGAGCTCAGAAAAGCCGACACAAGCCAAGCGGCATGATAGAAGGCGGATCCTTAGTGGCGGCATTTCAGCCAATTGGCTGCCGCAAGCTCAAAATGGTGGGTGTTCCCGAAGTTCAAAAAACATGCGGAGGAAATGCAGCGGAAGACCGCCTGAACCAAGCTGCCGGCCTACTCACCTTCCCTTTATCCAGAAACAAATGCCAAACCCAGAGCTTGAGAATGGAAGCTTCCGAGGTGTTTGAAGCGCAATGGCTGGCAACCAAGCTAGTGCAAGTTGAGTTCCGCATCTCTATCCTGCCAGGCCTAGTGCAACTGAACCCCAGGGCACGCAACAAAACCGTCTGCATGGGGGAGGGGGGGTAGACAAGGAACCACCTGGTGAGCCAACCCAATCTCATCCCGCGCATTTCGTCCCCATCCGAGCGGCAAACTCCCCGATGCGGCGGGAAGTCTCCCGCACCACGGCAGTAAGGCATTCCTCGCGAAAAGAAGCTGACCAGGAACATGCCCCTTTCTGGACGCCAAGCGCCCAGTATCAAGGCAAAAAGGACCAAAAAGAACGGAGAGGTGAAAGGAGTTCTGGGCTTTCCCGTTGCATCCTGCTTCAGGACTTCTGAATGCCGCTGAAGGCTCCAGCTCGGCCGGCTCTTGCGGCCGCAATGTGCACACTTCGTCATTCGACCAAGCTGACTTGCCGGACAAATGGACAGAGTCGCACACAGGCCATGTCAAGGTGGCCTTCAAAACAAACAGCCGAACAAGTTGGGAGAGGCAAACACCAAAAACGTGAGAGACGCGACGCTGTGCTTGCACGTCGGCTTGTCGCGTCACGATACGCTGTATCCCAAATCGATTCCTCAAACAATGGCTAGCAAATGGCTTTCCTTCATGTCGACGTGTCCCTTCCCCCCCCCCCACTCCCCCCCGTCCACAAAAACAGATCTCCTTCGGTTCTGAAGGTCTCCGAAACAGGGAGTTGGGCCTCTGGGCGCGTCTTTTGAGTTGCTAAATGTCCCTTTGCAAAGTCGGCACCCTTTAAGACAAAAACTGAAGGATGTCCCTTTGCAAAGTCGGCACCCTTAATAATGATTTAAAAAAAATAAAAATATAAATAAAAATGAAAAAAAAAAACTGAAGGAAGCAACACTTTTCGAAAGGAAATCAAAAGGTTGCCACGCACCGCGCTCCTGGAAGTTCTCTGGGCCCAGCTGGCTGGCCGCCTGAGGCCAGCAAAGAGCGAGGCGCTCCGGGCAAAAACGACCCGTGCCCTCGTGGGGATTTCTGTTGTGTTGTTTTCTCTTTTTTGTTCTTTATGTTTAAAAAATAATAATAATAATAATGAAAAGGACTTGTTGTCTTTTGTTCTCTTCGGACCTCGCCTGGCTGCCTGCAAAAGGCCTGAACAACTTGTTACACGTGACGCTCAGTTCGGCAAGACTTGGACAAAAGAATGTGCAGTGGCGCATGCAATGGAGCAAGCTGCGGGTAGAAATGAGATTGGCAAATGGTTCAGGCAAAGCAAGACTCCTGTGGTAGCTTGCGGTATCTTTGTTGCTGTCTGTCCGCACATCCCCCTCAATCTGCCACAGATTGGAGTGTTGTTCCTCAGCTAGAGATCAATGACTTTAGTGACATGACGCTGGCTTATGTTAGTACAGTGCCATGGTGATTTGCTCTGCAGGCACGTGCTGGGGACTGCCCTTGATAAAACACTGTTGCCATAACGGAAAATGTTTGCCAGGCAAGTTCTTGGCATGGTGAATCTGTGTCGCGAATCGGACGCACAAGGCTACAAAATGGTTGCCAAGGGGCAAAAGGAGATCAACACACACTCCCTCCTTGCTAAAAAGGGCCGACCTCAAACAGTTCCCAGCAAACCGCAGCTCTTAGAGAGAGGCGTGCTTCTCCAAGCTGGTCTGTCTCATGGATTGCTGGTTTTCGGATTCCTCTTTCCCACGGGGGCGGGAAAGAACCGCCTGAGGTATTGCTTCACGCAAAATTGTTCGCCCAAGCTGCCCAGGCGATGTTCGACAGATGCTGAGGGCTCCCCTCGTGCATCTTCCTGGCAAGCGCCGGCGGAAACGCCAACCCTCGCTTTACACAGGGGGTTCCGCTGCCACAAACCAGCCCAGTGCGCCAAGCTCACGAATGCAACACGGCACCCTACAAATACAGCTGAGCATTCAGTGAAAGAGCTGGTGGCAGTTACAAAACGAGCAAGGAATGTGGATAGCCTCCGGGCCTTTCTGGAACCCTCTGAAGCAAAGGCCCAGCCCGACCACCCGATGCAACCCACCAATTCAAATAAGCTTAAGCGAGCTTTATGCTTATGTGCTTAAAAAAATGTGAAGAGCCGCGCGGGGTGCCGCCTTGACCAGAAAAATGACATGGATGTCTCAAACACCTCTCCCTGGCCGTGGCCTCCCTGGCCCCAGACCCCCCCCCCTTCCCCCCCCCCACCTGCCGGCAGCATGCGCCATGCAGCGTAGAAGCTCGACGTCGTCCTTGAAGCCCAGCCTAAGGGAGAGTCTGACTTGCGGAGTCTGACTTCTGTAGGATGGCAGATGCAAGTTGCACCTAGTTGCTGTTGGATGCTGTTGCTCCGAATGCTCTGGACACTCTGATGTGGTGTGAATGGCGAGGCTTGCCACAACCCTTCCCCGCCGCCAGATCCAAAAGATCCGCAAAAAGTCAGCTCCAATACGAGACGTATGAGTGAACAGGACCTACAAAACTTCTGTTACAGCCCGTCTACCCGAAAGTATCTGGAAAATTGCCTGGAACCCTTCGACCCCCACCTCGCGCAGGCCCAGAGGAAGTTGCTCTGGTGCTGCGATGAGAAGTCCTAGCGCCAGAATCGCCGCATGGCGAAAATCCGCCGCGAACGTTGAGTTCGCCTTTGATGTGAAAACAGGTCGCAGCCAAGGGAAGTCCATGGCGAGCTGTTTTTGTTTCTCCTGTTTTTTCCGTGACTTTAGGATCCCATTGCAAGGGAACCGCGAAAAAATGCCAAAACTGGATGCTTCTGAGGCACATGAAAACAAAGAAACGGCAACGGACACAAAAGGGGGACAGCTGGCCCCGGAAGACTGAAACAATTACTGAATGCTTGCTCAACAACATCCAACAACAGCAAAAACCTAAAAGGACTCTCCCCATGCCGGTTGAGACAACTCGCCAAAAAAAAAAGGAGAGGATCTGCTCGTCATTCCATTTGGATTTTTGCGGAAAAAATGAGAAAGCAAAAGGTGAGCGCTTCCCTGACCGAGCAACCAACCAACCAACCAACTAACCAACCAACCAACCAACCAACCAACCAACCAACCAACCAACTAACCAACCAACCAACCAACCAACCAAGCAACCAACTAACCAACCAAGCGACCAACCAACCAACTAACCGACCATGCCAGCCAACCAGCCAAACCAACTCCCAGCCGGCATGGTCCATCCAGAAGGACCATCCAATTTCCCAGCTCCATCCAGCAGCTCTTCCGCAAACACTCACCGCATTCGTCACCCGTTCCACCACCATCCTATCCCCCCCGCTCAAAGAAAGAACATTCAGGGGGGGGGGGGGTGGGGGGGGTGGGGGGGGGTTACGAAAAAGTTCGGAGTCGCGCCACCGAACCCAACACAAACAGCCCCACCGAAACAAAACAAAAAAACATCCGCGGTCTAAACAAGCGAAGCGCCACACAAATTCTCATCCTAGATGCGGCGCGACTCGAGCCAAACGAAAAAAGCGGAAGCCGGTCCTGCACGCTGCGCTTGGCCACCCGCGCGGCTCCCCGCAGGAAGGACTCGTGCTTGTAGCCTCGCAGGGACTTCCCCGCTAACTTCCCGGAGATCTAACGCTTGGAGAGCTCCCGGAAATTGTCTCACTGTCTGTGAAACAAAGGCTAAAGTAGCTTGAACCAATATATGGGTGTGGCTCAAAATTAAACAGCAGGGATTACGCAGGTTTTGGTCCATGTTTCCACTTAGCAGGGTTTCATTTATGGTACCGGTTTTTTGAGCCACAGCCATATGGGAAATTCCCTTCGTATGCAGAAAGCTCTGCGAGTTTAGACCAGTGTAGCATGGGAAGTAGCTTAGACTCATGCTGTTTGAACATATCTTTTAGGTTCCCTTGTGGCAGGCTCATGGCCAGGATCGCTCCGCGTGAGCCAGGGTCCAAATCTGCTTCCGCAAAGGACATCGCCATGATTCAAATTCAGTGTCCCATGTCCAGACCCCACGGACCATGGACTGCGCACTGACGAACAAAATCCTGCAGTTGAGATGGATGAAGAAAAAAAACAACTTCTGAGTTCTGCCCGTTGCGAAGTGACTCGTGTTCATCTCACCAGAACCTCACATGTTCAGAAAGAAAAGAAGTCCAAAGAGGGATTTGGGACCCACACGGATCGATCCCTTTCCGCCACAAAAGCCAAAACCCTTCGCCCTGTCCAAAGGCCAAGCCTGCCGTGCCGCAGGCCCACAGAACCTGCACCAAGTTCTGCGGCACGAAGGCGTCGATCTGCTGCGCCGCCGCGTCCTGAGGCGGAAAGCTTCAGCCCAAGCGTGAAATCCACACAGTGTCTCATTCTCCCATGAGCCAGGCATCACACCTGCCTCCCTGTGGCCCCAAGCCAAAACCCAAAAAAACTCCACCCCAGATACGTACATATATATATATATATGTGTTTACATACATAACATACCTACAACCTGTATATATGGTCCCGTCCTCCGCCGGACCATATATACATATATAAATATATTATCTAGAAACCAAAAAAACAAACGCGACCTCCGCCCCTCCTCACCTCCAACCCCTAGACCCCCCCCCCACCCCCCGTCCCCCGTCCCAGGTCCCCGCGCCGAGGCGCGCAGAGCGCCTCGAAGGCCGCCTCCGCCTTGAAGCTCAGCTTCGCGAGGCCCCAGCTGATCAGCGCCTCGGCGCTCGGAGACTCGGGGCTCAGTCGGCTCAGTCGGGGCTCAGCCGCCCGGGGAAAGAAAAATCCCCGGTCCTTCCCGGGGGGGGGGGTGTTTTTTTCTTGGTGGTTTGCCTCTTGGACGGCTCTTCTAGTTTTTTTTGTTTTTTTTTTGTGATGTTTTTTTTTTTTTGGGGGGGGGTTGTGTGGGGGGGGGGGGGGGTGGTTCTTGGGAGTCTTTGGGGATTGTGGTTTTCCTCTTTGAGCGGGGGGGAATTGTGCCAACCCCCCCCTTTTTGTTGTTGGTTGGTTCCGCAAGGCGTGCGGTCTCGGGAGGAAGAGGAACCAGATCCTTGGGTCTCATTGGAAAGAAGTCTGGACCGGGGGATGAAGGGCAACAAGCACCCCAGGCTCGTCGGAATATTCAGAAACAGGCTGTAAGTTCTGTGTAGTTCCCAACTTCTATCCAACTCTTGAAGGGAAAAACAAGAGGTATGCCTCTTGAGTGGCGAAAGTCAATGAAATCCAGCTTCCCCCTGACTTGTTTTCTTTTTTTGTTTACAAAGCAGCAGAGAGAAAGATCTACCTGAAAGGGCACGAAAACCACTGAAGACATACCAGAATCCTATTGCCTCGGAAGGGGCTCCGCATTTCACTCGGCCCATACTTGCAGGTGAATGACCAAATGTCAGACCTGGGATGCACGAATGAGATCTTCCAACTCCTTCAAACGGACGCCAAATCTGAATTCTATCTGCCTCCTTTCAAGCTGTGTGAAACGTAGCAGAACATCAATGGTCTCTACAACTCTTCTCACCCACCATAGCACCAATCCTAACGCCACCTTTGGTGTATCTGAAAAAGGGTCGCCCCAAAATGCTGCATCTCCCGCGCTTCCCTTTGAAGCAAACCCCGCACGAACCTCGACCAGTCTCCGTCTCGAATCGAAGCGGCTCGAGGCGAAGCGAGGCGAAGCCCGGAAGGCCCGAGGCGCGATGTTCAGCGGCTGGAACTCGTTGGACCTCGCGATGATAGCCCCCAGCGCCATGCGCAAGAACTCGTCGATGGAGGGGTCGTCCTTGTAGGAGATGGTGGCGATGGCCTCGGCATCGGCATGCTGGTCAGAGGGATTTCCCGGGGAAGTCCGCGGCTAATCTCCCTTGGCCAAAAGCAAAGAAGGAGTCCCTCAAAAAAGGACGACCGGGCTGATGAATTCTGAGTGGACTGGCTAGGAAAAAGTTCAAGCCTGATGGGTGTAGGCTTGAATGAGGAGACCTGGCGACCGCATGCTGAAACTCGACAGGTGAGCATCCCATGGACACCGGCCAAATCGGACCTGGCAGAGCAAAAGCCCGTGGGTGTGCCAAGCTGGTGATTGGTCCATTGACAGACATGCGAAACAAGCAGGCTATGCACAAGAAAAGCAACTTTTTTGCCAGCCCAGCCAGCTTCATTTATCTATCGCGGAGTCTCAAAAGGCTTGGCCCAAGGAAGTGAGTTGGCCCAGTACAGCTTGGTGGCTTTTTGTTTGCCTCCCAATTCAGGAAGTCAGTCCCGGCATTTGTTCTGAACTTCCAAGGAAGCGGCAAAGCGTTGAAGGCTTATCAAGAGAATGACACAAACCCAAGCGACCGGCTTGCATTTGCAAAACAGTTCTTGTGATTGCTAGCTTGAAGCTGCACCCATAAATGCTTGGTTGACGTTGAAAAGGGAGCAAAAAATATATTTTAGCAGTTAAGTGGGGATGTCCCACTAAACCACAATAAGCAAAAATGCAAAATGTTTCCCAACAACAACCATGAACGGGGGGGGGGGGCTGTGAGAGTGGCACCAGCCCCCAAGCTTTCGCAAGAGTCTGGAGCAGCACAAGCCAGCAATGCACGCACGTGCACCTGTCTACCTGTCTGTCACAGCAAACCGACGAGAACCATAGGAGGAGAATGCCTTTCCAATGACCTCTCCAAAAACAATGGGGGCACTCTGCCAGAAGCCCCTCGGACCATTTCCTGCTAGAAACCTTCCATCAGCTTTGCGAGGGTATCCCTCCATTTGAACTAGTGGTTGGTCTTTCCGCTGGTATCCGCTTGGTTTTCCCTCAAACCAACCAAAAAGGGGTGCCCAAAAAACAACCACACGCAAAAACAACCTCAACAAGGTGTGGGGGTTCCCCAGAAAAAAACGTAAAGAACTGTGGGTGTCCTTCTGGTTTTCCTTCCGCTTAACTTCGGAGGTCGAAAGAGATCCAGTGCATTCACAGAGATCTGGCCGTCGGCGACCATGTCCTTTTAGCAAAAAAAAGAAAGCAAGACACAAAACCAACCACACAAAACCACTTCCGACCAAGCGGAAAGGCCAGGGCCCCCAGGGCCCCCGCCCAAATGATGGTGGCCAAGTTCTGGCCCGTGAAGCTGCGCATCAGCTCCATGGAGCGCCGGGCCACGTAGGCCAGCAGGTCCTCGCGAAGGGCGAGCGCCGAGTGCCGCCGTTTTGAGGCGCCCCTGGTTGGACTTTGGGGGGAAGCAACCTTCATGGGGACTGGGGAAAAAATGGAGGAGAGGGATCTCAAATAAGCCCTTAAGCCCTTAAGAAGGCCTTGTTTAGGGCTTATTTGGGCCCTCCCCCCCAGTTTTCATGAAACCTTTTGAGACAAACATGGGGAGATACAAAGCTGCACCTGAGGCGTTCTTGCCTTCAAAACATTCCACTAGGGGCGTGCGCGCAGGGCGAACCCGTGCTTCCCGCTTTCCACCCGCTCGGTCCGGGTCGTAGTCACCCCTGGTCGCCAGAGCCCAAGCGATCATCGACAGCTCAGAAGGCGCGTACTCCTGCAAGCAAAATCCTCACCAAGTGGCGTTTTGAAACAGAGCGTTCTTTCCGGGAGGCAAAGCTTTCGGCACAGAAAACAAAAGGCAAGGTCGGTCCGCGGCATCGGCCGCGCACTGAGTCTGGAAAATCCAGCGCAAGCAAAACCACGCTTCGGCATCGAGTTGTGGCAAGCACGTGACCGAATCCCCAGCATGTTCAAGCAAAGGACATTGCTACAAGCCTGCGATTCTGGCTTTGATCAACACGAGAATGTCAGAGCGTTCTTTCCGGGAAGCAAAGCTTTCGGCACAGAAAAAGACAAAAAGAAGAACAAAATCGAGAGATGGCGCCACCAGTCACCATCCGTGCCATCGTGGATAGTCTCAGCATGCCAGACAGCTCCCTAGGCCCCTCGATCACAGCGGACCTTTCCCTTCCACAAACATTTTACCTATATGCACGTCTGCAACAAACCCCCAATCCAAAATCAGTTGCCCAAATTCAGGACTTTTCTTTCAGAATTGTTTCTGAACACCCACCCGCCCGCCCGCCCAGGCAGGTCTCTCCTTGAGACGCATGACGCGGCCTCGTATGGCAGCCTTCCACTCGTCGCCCACCGGGTATGCGAGCTTCGCAAAGGCCCAATTCACCTCACCAAGAGGTTGTCGACTCTTGCTGCAAGTCTGAAACATGCTCACCAGCTATAAGGGACCATGACCGCAGACAATCCACCTGCTTCCCACGCTTTCAACCATGTGCCATGGATAGTTGGATTCTTGCCCCACATCTGGCCTCTTGCTCCCCAGAGCCACTTCCCCTTTCAAGCAGACCCCCTTCCAGCCGTCCAGCGAGACGGCCTCCCCTCCCCTCACGGCTCACGGCTTCGAGGGGCGATGGCCAGCTCCTGTGTGGTGAAGTCCTCCAAGCGCGACAAGGACTCCCGCAGCAGGTCCGCGTGCAGCGCGTCCGCGCGCACGCCTCGGGAGGACTGGCCCCAGATCGAAGCTCGACCTGCTCTTTGCGTTCATATTATTCCCCAACAGGAAAAAGATTGGCTTCTTTGGGTCAGACGGCATGCAATCTTGCCGATCAAGCAGGTTGAAACAAGCATCCAAATGGCACGAGACCACCCTTGAACTGCAGGCGCCTAGAGTCGCGTTGGCCCAGATCAGGTTCGAGATGTTCTGCACGCCAAAGGCATCCTCGGGAAAGGCCCACCCAAGTCCCCCAAAACTCAGCTGAGAACAAAGCACGGGAACTGGAATGAATTGATTGCTTGACGTTCCTGTTCCTCGAGACCCCCGCCACGCAATCAACAGAATCCTCCGAGAAAAAAAAAAATGCCACGAGGAAAACTCCTTTGCCAAATCTTACCGTCTCTCCGCAACACTGCCTCACTGTGCCCCTTCTTGCCCATTCCATTCCCCTCCAACCTCCAACCTCCACCTCTACATTGCTTCACTCCACCCAACACCTCACCAAACCACGCTAAGCCGCCCACCTCCCTTTCTCCCTTCCAACAAACCCATGAAGCAAGCCCAGCCTGAAACAAAACCCAACCAGCAACCCTCCCAAGCCTTCTCCAAAACCCCCACAAACCCCAACCCCAACCCTCCCAGCCTTCGCTCCTCTCACCTTCCCCCACAGTCATAATCAAAACCCGGTATTGAAATGGTCTACCCATGCAAAGAACCCTTAGAAGGGATTTCAGACAAACCCCCCCCCCCCAAGCAACCGCCCAGAAGCGGCCCGCCCCAAGGCCCCGCCAGCCCAAGGCGCCAGCTTCCCGCGGCTCGCCGCGGCGATCTGCGCCAAGAGCTCCTCCTCCCGGCGCCCGATGGTGGCGAAGGACCAGGCCACGATGGCCAGGCCCTGGGGGTCCAGCTCCTACCCGCGCCCGCGCCCGCGCCCGCGCGGAGGCGAAGAAGGTCGTCAAAACCACTTTGGGATCGATACCATTTTGGTAGGTGAAATTCACCACCCGTTTTAGAACCTGTTTTAATGGGGATTAAAATGTTCACTGGAGATACGGGATTTTGACCCATGGCCAGGTGAGAATCCGGGGAAACAAAGAAGGAACGCCAGGTACCCAGAGGGTACCAGGAAAAAGCCTGTGGCAGTGCTGTGGGAAAGCCGTAACACCAAGACACCAACAAGTTGGCTGCTGGCTGACTAGGCCCGCCCGCTGCTCTTGCACCGCTGAAATGGCCCGCGCCTGGTGTCAAAGGCAGCGACCCAACAAGCGTTCAGTGCCGGGATCTTGCTCTTCCCGCGTATGCAGCCATGTGAGGCAGCACCGCGCTTTCTGAACTTGCTTAGGGCTCTCTTGCCAGTGCTGTGGGAAAGCCGTAACACCAAGACGCCAACAAGTTGGCTGCTGGCTGACTAGGCCCGCCCGCTGCTCTTGCACCGCTGAAATGGCCCGCACCTGGTGTCAAAGGCAGCGACCCAACAAGCGTTCAGTGCCGGGATCTTGCTCTTCCTGCGTATGCAACCCCTTGAGGCAGCACCGCGCTTTCTGAACTTGCTTAGGGCTCTCTTGCCAGTGCTGTGGGAAAGCCGTAACACCAAGACGCCAACAAGTTGGCTGCTGGCTGACTAGGCCCGCCCGCTGCTCTTGCACCGCTGAAATGGCCCGCACCTGGTGTCAAAGGCAGCGACCCAACAAGCGTTCAGTGCCGGGATCTTGCTCTTCCTGCGTATGCAGCCATGTGAGGCAGCACCGCGCTTTCTGAACTTGCTTAGGGCTCTCTTGCCAGTGCTGTGGGAAAGCCGTAACACCAAGACACCAACAAGTTGGCTGCTGGCTGACTAGGCCCGCCCGCTGCTCTTGCACCGCTGAAATGGCCCGCGCCTGGTGTCAAAGGCAGCGACCCAACAAGCGTTCAGTGCCAAGATCTTGCTCGTCCTGCGTATGCAGCCATGTGAGGCAGCACCGCGCTTTCTGAACTTGCTTAGGGCTCTCTTGCCAGTGCTGTGGGAAAGCCGTAACACCAAGACACCAACAAGTTGGCTGCTGGCTGACTAGGCCCGCCCGCTGCTCTTGCACCGCTGAAATGGCCCGCACCTGGTGTCAAAGGCAGCGACCCAACAAGCGTTCAGTGCCGGGATCTTGGTCTTGGTGCGCATGCAGCGATGTGAGGCAGCACCGCGCTTTCTGAACTTGCTTAGGGCTCTCTTGCCAGTGCTGTGGGAAAGCCGTAACACCAAGACACCAACAAGTTGGCTGCTGGCTGACTAGGCCCGCCCGCTGCTCTTGCACCGCTGAAATGGCCCGCACCTGGTGTCACAGGCAGCGACCCAACAAGCGTTCAGTGCCGGGATCTTGCTCTTCCCGCGTATGCAGCCATGTGAGGCAGCACCGCGCTTTCTGAACTTGCTTAGGGCTCTCTTGCCAGTGCTGTGGGAAAGCCGTAACACCAAGACACCAACAAGTTGGCTGCTGGCTGACTAGGCCCGCCCGCTGCTCTTGCACCGCTGAAATGGCCCGCACCTGGTGTCACAGGCAGCGACCCAACAAGCGTTCAGTGCCGGGATCTTGCTCTTCCCGCGTATGCAGCCATGTGAGGCAGCACCGCGCTTTCTGAACTTGCTTAGGGCTCTCTTGCCAGTGCTGTGGGAAAGCCGTAACACCAAGACACCAACAAGTTGGCTGCTGGCTGACTAGGCCCGCCCGCTGCTCTTGCACTGCTAAAATGGCCCGCACCTGGTGTCAAAGGCAGCGACCCAACAAGCGTTCAGTGCCTGCGTACGAAGCCATATGAGGCAGCATTGCTCGCCATAACACTAAGACACCAACAAGTTGGCTGCTGGCTGACTAGGCCCGCCGACTGCTCTTGCACCGCAAAATGGCCTGCGCCTGGTGTCAAAGGCAGCGACCCAACAAGCGTTCAGTCCCGGGATCTTGCTCTTCGTGCGTATGCAGGCATGTGAGACAGCACCGCTCTTTCTGAACTTACTTAGGGCTCTCTTGCCAGTGCTGTGGGAAAGCCGTAACACCAAGACACCAACAAGTTGGCTGCTGGCTGACTAGGCCCGCCCGCTGCTCTTGCACCGCTAAAATGGCCCGCGTCTGGTGTCAAAGGCAGCGACCCAACAAGCGTTCAGTGCCGGGATCTTGCTCTTCCTGCGTATGCAACCCCTTGAGGCAGCACCGCTCTTTCTGAACTTTCTTGGGGCTCTCTTGCCAGTGCTGTGGGAAAGCCGTAACACCAAGACACCAACAAGTTGGCTGCAGTGCCGGGATCTTGCTCTTCCCGCGTATGCAGCCATGTGAGGCAGCACCGCGCTTTCTGAACTTGCTTAGGGCTCTCTTGCCAGTGCTGTGGGAAAGCCGTAACACCAAGACGCCAACAAGTTGGCTGCTGGCTGACTAGGCCCGCCCGCTGCTCTTGCACCGCTGAAATGGCCCGCACCTGGTGTCAAAGGCAGCGACCCAACAAGCGTTCAGTGCCGGGATCTTGCTCTTCCTGCGTATGCAGCCATGTGAGGCAGCACCGCGCTTTCTGAACTTGCTTAGGGCTCTCTTGCCAGTGCTGTGGGAAAGCCGTAACACCAAGACACCAACAAGTTGGCTGCTGGCTGACTAGGCCCGCCCGCTGCTCTCGCACCGCTGAAATGGCCCGCACCTGGTGTCAAAGGCAGCGACCCAACAAGCGTTCAGTGCCGGGATCTTGCGTTTTCTGCTCACGCAGACGCGCAAGGCAGCTGTAGCCCTGCAAGCACATGCAGGTTGAGTCCGGTCACAGCAGGTAATCACAGTCACGCAAACATGCAACTCTCCAAGCTTCGCGCAATGTGAACTGCTTCTCCTGACACGTCCACATCAGTCCCCACTTTCAAGCCACCAAAGCCTTCCAGTTTGGCATCTGGCCCGTCATCCTGGCTCCGAAAGGCACTCGGGAGCATTTAAGACAGGGGCTGGGAGGTGCTTGCATTCCCAATGGACCTTCCCTTTCCTTTTTGGGCCGACCCCAACGCTTTCAGCTCGAAACAACAACAAACAAAAAGAGAAGACACCGAGCGGCGTTTCAGTCCACATTGCAGTTCTCCCCCCCCCCCGAGCTTCGCCTGGATGATCTGCTGAGCCCGTTGCGAGAGACGCGTAAAGATCTCCTCGTCTCGGCACTGCATCTTCGCCTTGGCTAGGGCTTGGGGCGGAGTGTGTAGCCAATGCGATTGCCCAACGACCAGGGGAACGACACTTGAGGAGCAATGTTGAAACTGAACAACTCCCAGGAAAAACACATGTTCAGGTAGGACAACATGATGCTCGTGGGTCTGAAGGAGGTATCTGCGGTGAATCTTCTGAAGACCCTTGCGTCAATACCTGGATCTTCCAACTTCTGAACGGCTCAAGCTTTGGTTGTTTCGGTGTTTCTTGGGGGGGGTGCCTATGTTTCCCTTGCGTTGTTTGCAAAAGTTGCAGCCTTTGTCGTTTTATGCTGGAGTTTTTTCGCATTCGTAACTAAAGCGAGGTCTTTGGTGCATAGTCTGCTGTGCGTCAACGTGGATGTGGATAGGTTCTTTGGCTATGAGGTCTCTTTTTTGTACCTTGCCACCGGCGGCACATGTGCATAGAATCCGGGCAGTTGTGTGTTGGTTTTCGCGGACTCTGCCATTCAAAATTTGCACTCTAGACCTTGCGTTAGTTTTAGGACTTTGTGTCTTTTACATCCAAACAAGGCAAGCACATGTTGGAAGGGTGACTGCTGCAAAGTTCGGAGGTAAACACACGGGTGAACATAAACTCACCTGCCAGCGTTGACCAGGCCGTAACGCTTCCAAGGCGCAAGACCCCAAGTGGCATCAGACAAACCCCAGGCAGAGAGGTCCTGGCAGTTCGATTTACAAGCTGCAAAAAGTCACTGGCAGCCCCGAGGCAAATGCTTCCCTGCAAGATTAAGATGTTCCTCTGCGGTTCCTGGCAAGAACTGGACCTTCATGAGACGATCACCTGAATGGTGCAATTCGTCCACCCCACGCTTGCCGCGCTTCCGAATCGATCCATCGACTCGACTCCGCCTTGCACTTGGCCTTCAGCAGCTGCAGCAGCCGCGGGAAGCGGTAGTCCGCCAGCGCCAGCTTGGCCTCGCCCAGCTCCACCTAAGCCAGGCATCCCAAAACCGAAAGCAACCCCAAGCCCCATGGGGGATCGAACCCCCAGACAGAGAAACCCAAGCCGAAGAAATGGGGAACGAAAAAAAAAACCGCACAGAGATCAACCTCGCACGAGCGCCTGGGCTTTTTGCGAGGGAAAAGTGGAGGGAGAACTTCCCCGGAGCTGTGGAGCGTCCACAACATCCTTGTGTAGCACGAGAAGCTATGGTCCGCTTGCACTATTTAATCAACCTGCAATTCAAATTGAAAACCAAGGATCAGGGTGTGATGGGCATGCCTTGAATCTTGAGATGTTAATTTTCAGTCCCTGAAGTCAAGACAAGCGCCAAATCCAGTCGATCCCGGTCAACAAGGAAGCGGAGACGTGGACCGAGTGGTGGTCACACATCCAAGTACATCATGTGCCATGCTGATAGCTACCGTCCTCAGCCCTAGAAACCCGCCTGCAAATGGGTAGCAACAGGCAAGCCAGAAAGCAAGAACGCGAATAGTCTCTGATACATGCTTTGCGTGTTTGGGCGGTGGTCTATGGCCACAAGTGGACTGGTCATAACCACTCTGACCCCTCACGCCAGGCTCCCCCACACTGGATTTGGCCACGCGGTGCACTGCAGTAGAGGTGTTCCGGGAGTCGAACAAGTCCCCCAGGTTCTCTACCACACCCAAGACCTGCCAGCCACGGTGTTCAAGCCAAAGACAGTTTTCCCCAGCTTTGCGCTCGCCACATCTCCCCAGAAATGCAAACTCATTGAACACTTGCTCAAGAAGTTATTAGGCTGGATAAGTAGCAAAAGTATTCATACTAATATTAATATGACATGAAATTAAAGACCAAGCGACAAGATAAATACACAAATTAGTAAATGAACAAATACATACATTGATAGACAAATGAATGAATACAACTATACAAAACCCCTCTCTGTTTTATTCAGTGAATATCTTGCCCGATATGTTCAATCCATATTCAACCGATATATCCTTCTATGTTTATGTATTTATGTTGTTTTTGTTCGAGCGGCGCGAGATTGTGGTATCTGTATTCAACAGACTCTCAAAGTCATGTTGGCAACCCCAATCCAACATCCAAATCCTCTGCTCCCGGACTGCAAGATCATTTATCAAGCAGGCTCTCAAAGCCATACTGGCAACCCAAATCCAACATGCGAAGCCTCTGCTCGCGCAGCTTCGATTGCGTCAGCTCATGCGACGCGGCCCATACCACTCCTCCGACCGCCAGCGCTCCTAAGGAGGCCACGCCAGCAACAGCCGCCACTCCGCCAAGCATGCCCAGGCCGCCCGAAGCCACGGTGCCTCCGCCAAGAGCCGCAAGTCCGCTTGTGATCCCTGAAGCAGAAAGCCCAACAACACCGCTTTCCGCGACCATGATAACTCCCACTGTGGTGCCTCCAAATGCGCCGGCCACACCGCCCACTGCCACTGCCGTTGGGGTAACGGAGTTGTTTTCAAAGGCGTCGCACAGCTTGTAGATGGTGCGTGCAGTGAGCATAGATGGAGCTGCAGCCACGACGATGATGCCACCCGCCATACCCAGTCCTCCGGCCGCCAAGGATCCTCCTCCAAGCGTAGCCAGGCCACTGGTGACCGACGCGGCGCCAAAGAGCCCTTCCGCAGCGGCCGCGGTCACAACCAGTTTCACACCTTGCACAGATGCCAGCCATGCAATCTGCTCTGCACTCCAACATGTCTTGACGATTGTCTTTGCCTTGTCCAAGTAGCTGTTCGGCACGAAACTCCAAATTGAATTCGATTGCTTAAGCATCATGAAGACCCCGTCAGCAATCCTTACAAAGGCATCCGAACCCACCAAGTGGTCCACTTGGCCGTACCTCATTGTCTTCGAGTCTTTGCAGAGGAACTGGATGATAGATTTCGGCTTGAAGTCCTCATGGGCGCACACACGAGCCCACGTCTGCAACATTCGGATCCACTGCTCTTCACTGACGACTGGCTTCCATGTGCTGCCGGCTCCACCATGAGAGGCACTGGCACCCATGCTGCCAGAATTGGCTGGAGCAAGCAATGCTTGAGCAGCTGGCTACTTGATCTCGCTGACGCCAGCGGTGTGCCTCACTTTTGCGCTCCAGAATCGCCAAAACCTGGTTTGGGCAAACAAGGTTGCATCAAACACATCAAGGCCAACCCATGCTGCCAGAATTGGTTGGTTGCTTGATTGTGTTGAAGTTAGTTGTTTGTTTTACTTTTGCGTTTTAGAATCACTCGTTCAATCGTTAAAATGTGGTTTGGGTAAACAAGGTTGGATTAAATATATTAAGGTTGTATTGGCAACGAATTGTTGTTTTAATAAGATGTTTTACGATACGAAAGTCCTGGCAGAGGGAGCTTGATGCAACTCCCAGAAGCTGCTTTGCACAAGGGTCGGCCATTCTACTTTGCAGAAGCCCTTTCTGGACCATCTACCAATACATACCTTCCTTAAAACTCTAGCCCTTCATAGACCTGCGCAAGGCCTGTGGGTATGGCTAGCAAAAAGGGGCTTCTCTCTTAGCCAAAGCAAGGCACCGCATTTGCGTCCAACGATCCAACGACCCTCACTCGAGGCTTAACGAAGCCGGAAGCCGCCGAAGCCTCGCGCCAATTCTTGCACTCGGTGACCGAGACCTGCATCTCGATGGTCAGCTGCTTTGAGGGCGGCGGTGGGCGATACACATAGCCTGTCATCTGGAGACAATGACCGAAACACCAGCTGGTCTGCATCCCTCCAAGTAGGCGGTTCTTGCATGTATCCTTTGAGGAAGCCCGGAGCACTTCAACCCGGAAACATGTGATTCCAAGGTCATGTCCCAGTCAGCAAGTCGGAAGTCGTGCAGATACGTACAACTCAGCAAGGTCTTGAGTTTGTTTGGAGGTCTGTGTTATCTTCAACACGGGCGACTATTCAAGAAGACCTGCGACATGCCGCCGCTGGAGTCTGGCATGGTTGCAGAGCAAACAAGCCTGCTGATCCTTCACTCAGACGGTCGGACATACTCGGAATGCACACCCTGTGTCATGACCTAACTTATGTCCTCATGGAATACACAATTGCCGCAGGAACATGACCGATGCCTTCTGGTGATCTAGGTGCGGAAATTTCCGTCTGCAGCCAGGCTGCCGTGTGGTCCCAGCACGCAGCCGTTCACCAGGTCATCCTCCGTCAGGACTTCCACCGCCGCCATGGCGCCGTTTCTTCGGGTTTCTTCCGGGCGTGTCGGAGGGTGCCCGGGTTTGGGGGTGTTTTGGCAGAAAGTTAAGGGGAAGCCGCCGTGTTTGAAAGGTTCCAACACGGCGGCTTACCTTTCGGTTAAAGCAGTAAAACCATCCAAAACGGGGCTCCCTATCTTTCAAGCATCGCTATGTCCCCTTGTGAATTGACGTTGGGTGGGTGTGGGTCGGGTGGGGTTAAGTGGGAACGGGCGGCAAGGAGGCAAATGAAGGTGGCGCAATTGCTATAGAAATCACCCAACAAAAAGACTGTTGCACAAAAGGCGTGGTTGTCTGTTGATGTGTATGTGAGCCTGAGCTGACACATAAACATCAGGCACATGTGAGCCATCCACAAATGGGTCAGGACCTGTCGCCAAAGACTTGCAAACGACTCCTTGCAACTAACAAACTGCAGTTCATTCACGGCCGTTTCTCTCCCCAACCTGCCGGGCTCACAAGCCCAGGTTGCCCAAAAAAACGAAGCCATGGTTGGCGCCCAGCAGAATGGCTCACGAAAGACGGGGCACGCAAAGGCAACAAGTGCAAGGGCCAGTAGTGTCTCCACCATTTTCCCATTCCGCCCTGCAGTCAGGCCAAGGCTACCAAAGGGTGGGGCCCTGGAAAAGCAAACATCAAACAGCTAGCCCAGAAACTGGAAGCTTCTTACTACTTGTTGCTTTCAACTTCTTCAGCTAGGAAATCAAAACGCCGTGTCCTTACTTTCTCTTGGCACAAGGAGAGCTCCAGAGGCGACCGGAGAGAGAACGCAACCGGAATAAAAGGGGCGGCTGCCCCAGAAAAGACCGTCCAAGATCCAGTCTTTGCAAACTGTCGACCTTAGGAATAATCACTCATAGTTGCTCTCTTTTACAGGATTTCGGTCGAATTGCAGCGAAAGAATGGTGATGATTGCCCAGTTGATGCCGTGGCTCAAGCCCCCACAGCCGTCAGCTATGCTTCATGATCGCAGTCTCCAGCTCAGATTCTCGAACAAGAACCAGCCAAAAATGCGAACTGCGCAACCCCATACGCTAGCCGCTAACTGGCGCGTAGGCTGCAATCCCTCCTTTTCATGGCGGCAGTATGATTGCGTGTGCCTGCGCGCTGTGGCGCACGCGCCGCAAAATCTCTGCAGAGCAATCACGGCTCAGGTTGCATGCATTAATTGATGCCCTTTTAGACACCACTGATCACAAAATAATATGTGAGTCACACACACACACATGTTAAGCCCAATAATTTTAAAAAAAAAAAATAGATGAAAAAAAGCTGCTCACGCTCACGACTTCGGCTTCAGGATCGCATCCATCAGATCATAGCCGGAGGCGTCCCGCACAGAGGCCGTGGTCTGCCAAAAGAACACACCGGCCATGTCCTGCGCCTCCTGAAAACGGAATCAATTTGGATTTTCCAGCCTAACAAAATCACCAGAAGCTGGCGGTTCTCCGGAAGGAAAGAAAAATGTGTCCAGCCTGTTGGCTCCCGGAAAGTGCAAGAACCCTGCTCTTGACCTTCTGACCAGATCACAGGTGTGTCGCTGCCCTCGTGAGCGTGTTTTCACTATATCCCGATGTGGTCCGTGTGCCCAGGTGCGCAAGGCCGACATGTGACCGTGACGAGCTGACACGTCATTGGGGTCTGTCGCACGCTGAGTGGCCTTGGCCCTCCTGAGTGGCCCTTGCGATACTCTCAGCACTTTCAACTCAGGGGGGCTGGGGGGAGGGGCAGGAAGCCCAAAAGAGCCCTAAAGGCCTTATTCAGGGCCCCTCCCCTCCCTCCCAGCCATGATCGACTGGCTTCAGGTGAACTCCGACCAACCACACCTCCGTGTCGCTGTCTCAGATCCAACTCAGAGAGCCGTCCTTTAGATCCCACTGCGGCAGAGCCAGGGATGGTTTTTCTATGTCCGAGGATATGTTCAACTGCATCATCAACGGAGATATTTTTTACGCGCTGTGGCTCGTGTGGTTGTCACTTACAGGCATAGTCTTTGTTTTGCTTAAGGCGCCGCCAGATAATATTATCTCTACCGGTCATGTTCTTCAATATGCGTCAAAGCTCAGACACAGGAGTAGCAGGTTTGATCTGGCTCGGGAAACTGGTATTTTCTCTAAACATTTGGCATGCCCAAGGTATCTTTACTCTGCGCTATGCGCTGGTCCACGTGTCTTATATCGGGCAAACAAAAACTGACTGTCTCTTGCGTCCTTCCACAGGTCCGTGGCCACGCAGTTCGCGGTCGGGGTCCCCGCCGCGTCGCCCACCGGCGTGATGCCAATCTGAAGCTTCGCCTGGCGGAGATCCTTCCCTTCCGATGACCATTGCTGTCGGGCCAAATGAGATGGGAGTGCAGGGCTCGGTCAAAAGCCGGGGGTCGAGTCCCCTAGTTCTTGTGGGAAGTTGAGTGAGTTCCCTCATGTCCCTCCCGTAGATCAGACATGTTGATCGCAGCTCACTCACAATCGTTGTGGCGTTTGAATACGAGCAAGAGATGCCCTTGGGAGATGCCAGGTAGGTCTTTGTTAATGGCAAAGTGACGACTTCCACTTGCTAGAGAGAAAGGCCTAAAGCACCTCTATAAAATAGAGAAACTCCTGGAAGAATGTCGGCCTTCGCACAAAGGCTTGGCAAAATCATGGTGTTGAAAGCCGCCGGTTGGCCAATTTTTGCCCAGAAAGTCCCTCTCTTGGCCTGGCAGTACCCGCGCGAAAATGCTCGCGGCTTCTCGCCTTCAAGGGCGTGCCTTGCCAGTTCCTCACGTAGCGCATGGTTGGGCCTGTGGGCGGGGTGCCGCACGTGACGCCCCAGCCCTGGCCACTCTCCTCAGCTCTTGTGCAGAAAGGATCTCATCCGCAACCAGCAGGTTTATGTCGTTTGGAGTCATCTTGCAGCACCGACGCTGGGACTACCCGGCAAACAGCGAACATGTGTCTGTGTGTGTGTATTGTATACATATATGTACATGTACAATACATAGTTCTTGCGACCGTGATTCAGCGGATGGTTCTCTGACCAGCTGCCTCTCCCTGCCGTGCTTTGCCACGCACGGTGTGACTTTGTGGGGTCCCGTCGGCCACTTGGACCATCTTGGACCACGAGCTAAGTCGCCTTTGAGACAACATCTGCACTCTGTGAGAGTTGCAACAGTGTTTCCTCTCCAAATGGCGTGGACCCATTCACGAATCGAGCCAGTTTGGCAGGAATTGCCGCATGAACAGTGCGGATTTTTGCGCCGCCGGCAATCCAAGGTGCCCGTTTTTAGATCGCCGCGCAGCTCACACAAAAGACCGCCAAGCCCGCCGCCGGGTTTTTTTCAGTCGAACCGAACCGGGGAAAAAAGCATCCGCCCCGAGCGAGAGCCCGACCAAACCCGCCCGCCCGTCCCGGAGAGCCCGGAGCTCCACTCCATCCCGAGCCAAGCCACGGCCCCGCCGTAGAGCATCAGGGCTCCGAAGTCCCAGGTCTCCTTGTTGGCCGCCAGGAAGCGGTAGTTGCCGCAGCCTCAAAACGGCTACGACGCAAGGAGGAGGAGGAGGAGGAGGAGGAGGAGGAGGAGGAGGAGGGGAGTCTCGAGACAATGTGAAGGTTGACTTCTTTTTCTCTCTTTTTTTCCCGGCCCCGAAAGGGGCAGTAGTATTCCAAACCGCAGAAAAATTAAGTAGTCCGGCGAGAACCATCGTCGCTTGTTTATGACGGAGAACAACCTGCCAAAGTTTGGGTGCATCATGCACTACAAATGCCTTTCATCCCTTGAACAGTCCGCATTCTCGGTCTGATGGTGCATTTGGGGTTCTTTCATCCCCGCAACGTATTCCCTATCCAGGAACTGAGAGACATTTCGATCTCCTTCCTCAACCCTTGCTCACCCCTCACCCCAAACCCAAACCCCCCAGCGCGCCTGTCGTCATGGAGCCGCAGTCGATCGAAGCGGCGTTCTCGTTCACCCAGGACTGCACCGTGGGGTCCACGTAGGAGCCCGCCAGGGTCGTGAAGACCACCGTGTAGCCCTGAATGGCACAAGATCGATTCAAGAACGTGCAGGCACGTTTGCAGACCGGACTTGCCTTTCACTGGCACTGCAGAACAAGTTGTGAACGGGCAGCTTGATGCCACAGTCTTTGCTACCATTCAACCGATGTTTTGGGAGTCCTCTGGTTCATTCAGTGATGCTACACACACACACATGTTTCAGACATGCCTGTTGCTGCTGGATGTGTGTGTGTGTTTATGTGTATGTGCATGTGTGCGTGTGTATGTATCCGGGTACGTGTCCGTGTCTGTATCTGTGTCTGTGTTTGTGTTTGTGTCTGTGTGTACGTGTCTCCGCGTCTGTCTGTCTGTCTGTCTGTCTGTCTGTCTGTCTGTCTGTCTGTCTGTCTGTCTGTCTGTCTGTCTGTCTGTCTGTCTGTCTGTCTGTCTGTCTGTCTGTCTGTCTGTCTGTCTGTCTGTCTGTCTGTCTGTCTGTCTGTCTGTCTGTCTGTCTGTCTGTCTGTCTGTCTGTCTGTCTGTCTGTCTGTCTGTCTGTCTGTCTGTCTGTCTGTCTGTCTGTCTGTCTGTCTGTCTGTCTGTCTGTCTGTCTGTCTGTCTGTCTGTCTGTCTGTCTGTCTGTCTGTCTGTCTGTCTGTCTGTCTGTCTGTCTGTCTGTCTGTCTGTCTGTCTGTCTGTCTGTCTGTCTGTCTGTCTGTCTGTCTGTCTGTCTGTCTGTCTGTCTGTCTGTCTGTCTGTCTGTCTGTCTGTCTGTCTGTCTGTCTGTCTGTCTGTCTGTCTGTCTGTCTGTCTGTCTGTCTGTCTGTCTGTCTGTCTGTCTGTCTGTCTGTCTGTCTGTCTGTCTGTCTGTCTGTCTGTCTGTCTGTCTGTCTGTCTGTCTGTCTGTCTGTCTGTCTGTCTGTCTGTCTGTCTGTCTGTCTGTCTGTCTGTCTGTCTGTCTGTCTGTCTGTCTGTCTGTCTGTCTGTCTGTCTGTCTGTCTGTCTGTCTGTCTGTCTGTCTGTCTGTCTGTCTGTCTGTCTGTCTGTCTGTCTGTCTGTCTGTCTGTCTGTCTGTCTGTCTGTCTGTCTGTCTGTCTGTCTGTCTGTCTGTCTGTCTGTCTGTCTGTCTGTCTGTCTGTCTGTCTGTCTGTCTGTCTGTCTGTCTGTCTGTCTGTCTGTCTGTCTGTCTGTCTGTCTGTCTGTCTGTCTGTCTGTCTGTCTGTCTGTCTGTCTGTCTGTCTGTCTGTCTGTCTGTCTGTCTGTCTGTGTCTGTCTGTCTGTCTGTCTGTCTGTCTGTCTGTCTGTCTGTCTGTCTGTCTGTCTGTCTGTCCGTCTGTCCGTATGTCCATATTCGTATGTGTGTGTGTGTATATATTTGTCCATGCGTGTATTGTGTATGTGTGTCTCTGTCTCTATGTGTCTCTGTGTCTCTGTGCTTTTCTGTGTATTTATGCATGTGTGTGTGTGTGTGTGTCTGCATACGTGTTTATGTATGTATGGTACATGTTCCGTGTTGCCACACCCAGCCCCAACCATCGGCACACAAAATTATATCCGGTGCATCGTCAAGCTATATGTGTCCAACACTTGAGCAAGCCGCTCTGAAACAGCCGTTACGGAGAGGAACATCAAGGGTTGCAACAGGACTTGCCCTCATGTTGTTGAAGCGGCAAATGGCGCCAGTTTGACGAGCTCTCCTGCAGAGCTATGAATGCAGCATACCCGTGGGCACTGACCATGACCATTTGTCATCAGAGGTTTCCAACCCGAAACCAACCTAAGCCAACCTTGAACCAACCCCAAACAAACCCCCAACCAAAACCCCGAACCGTTGTCTGACCCGCGACCAGTTGGGGGCGTTGGCGACACTGAACCATAGACATCTAATTATGGGCAAGCCACCACCTACATTTCTCAGCTTCCCAATTGGAGTGATTTGGTGGTTTTGGTGATTTGGGGGAGGTGGTTCCCATGCCGCCAATCAAGAGTGACCTGGGCATGGGTCAAATCCTAAAATGGGTGGGGAATTCACCTACCAACCAAAATGGGATCGATACCAAAACGGTTTTGACGACCACAGCCACCTGACTTCTGAGGGTCCCCTCAAAAAACCAACACCTCCCAATTCGGGTCGCCGAAAAAACCTCCGCGCCTGGCCCTTGACAGCCTGCGCCAGCGCCAGGCCCGCGCCCAGCTGGGGCCCCGACACCTCCCCCTGGTGACACGTCGCTATGGGACGCCCAGGGGAACCCACCGAAGAGGGCATGGTGTCCGTGTGAAACGCAGGGGAGAAAGAAAAAAAACGGGAAAAGGAAAAACATGGTGGGCTGCCTCTTAATTCTTTTCACTCCACCTTCAAAAGGGTCTCAATGAAACACAATGTGTCCATCAGGCAAGGTGAAAAGGACAAGCCGGAGCCGGGACTGTGCGTCGTTCCACCAAAGGAGGCCACTGGTGACTTCTCGGTCCATACTTAAAGGCGATGACTCTGGACAGTTATGCGGGGAAGCGAAGGTTTCAACCTGGGGACATCAATGAAGAAACCAAAAATTGTCAAGAGTGCAAGCACCAAGGGATCCACGCCCTGTCCAAGTGAGGGAGGAAACCTCATGCTTCAGCAAAACAGAGCATGGCGAGGAAGCCCAGACAGTGGACAAGACATACATCTTAACAACGGCAAATGCTGATAGATGTCAAGCGAGCCGCTTCTACCGCAATATGCCACCCAGTTCCTCACAGCACACTGATCATGGTCACTTCGTTGCGGGTAGAACCATCTTCCGGCCCAACCCAACTCTGTTACAAGCTTAACCTGAAAGCAGAGTTGCCGTCATGGCCGCCTACCACCGAGCCCGACAAGGCACGCACCAAAACCAAAGAGCCAAAAGAGCTCGACTCTCCGTGCGGCGGGTCCGGTCCCCCTCCTCCCAGTCAAAGTTCACACAGTTGAGGTTGTGCTGCTTCAGTATGCCGCCCAGGGCCTTACTCCAGAAGCTAATAGGTCAGATCACGCCGGCCCTCACAGTGAGATCCGGCCATGGCAATCAAAGCCCCGGTTCGCCTGATGAACCAAGGAATCAGAAGAGGCATCCTTCCGTGCTTTCCCTACAGACTTGCTCCCGAGGTTGCGCAAAAACTCGGCGAAACAGAGCTGAGATGAGGCAAGTAGAGTCACAGGCTTAGTCCAAAGCAAGCACTGTCAAATCGGCCTGGGAAAACCAGCTTCAGGAGCCTCTTATGCAGGGCAACAGCCAGACAAGAGCTTCCCAGGCTCTTGGAGAGAATTCCTATCTAGAATCTAGTGTGCCCACACCATTTGATGCATCAAAACTCAATAATCTCACCTTTGATCACCACCAGCATGCTCTAGAAACAGGACGATGTCCATAAATGGCAAGATAGCTGGATTTCCTCCATTTGTTTTGCTGTTTGCCAAAAGCAACTTCCAAGCGGGCCTTCCTATCCAAAAGCGAAAACCAGTCCTGACACAACAACACGGTCAGCCTGGAGCATGTCTGCAGCAAGTGAGGCTGAAGTTCAGGAACTGCAAGAGACCTCTTGACCCACACAGCTGAGTCTCCCTGCCAAAACCAGGATATGAAGGGTGCCGGACACCTTTTGGCACATGCCGGCCCCTGCCCCCCATCCCTCCCCACCCGACGCCTCCGAGGACAGGAGTGTTCCCCCCACCCCCGCACCGCCGATGCTCAAGCAGCGGTACGGCACCTCGGTTCCGCGGTTCAGCGGCTCGTCTGCAAATCTGACACAACCCAAACCAAGCAGAACTGAAACAGTCTGGTGATTTTCTTGGTTCCGAAGTGACGTTTTGATTCACTGAACCAAGGAACTACTGTTCTACATGCTGCACCCGAAATCTTTTTCAAGAAAGACACACAAATACGGAATCAAAGTTGCTCACATGCTACTGGCCACGCCTGCGACAGCCAAGAAGGCACAGCTGCGACCATGGGGTTTGCCAGGCTGTCCTTCTGCCCTGCGATCCTTGGGCGCTGATTGAGGTTTTGACCAAGGTCCGAGAAGGAAGGTGAAACCAGAGGGGTCGAAAATGGGTTGGTATAGGGAAGCCTCTATGGGTGGCCTGCCTTGCGTTTTCCTAAGCCCACTGTCTGTACCTGAGAAACACCCAAGTCTGTGTCATGGCGACGTTCTGTGCCCAAAGCTCAACCCCACCGGAGTTTCTTTAGGTCCGACGCCATCGCCATACAAGTCCATGTCAGTGTCTCATGTGGGTTCGTCACAAAATGGCGGACCCATCCCCCAGGAATATGTGTTGTATCCTCTTTCCCTTCCCTTAAAGTAAACCCAAAAAACAAGAGTTCAGCCAAAAAAGCACGATGTCCAGATTCAGACAACCTTCGCATTGCGCTCATCCAACTGAGAATTATTGATTCCCCAAGCAAAGCATCATTGCAGGTTTGCAGAGCATGCCGCACAAAGGCAACCGATTGCGGATTTGGGGGGGAAGCTCTAAGCAAAGCAGAATAATAACGGGAGATGGCAATAGAAAATTACCACCCTGACACCTGCTCCTCTCATGCTCTCATGTGCTTGCTAGTTGGTTCTGACTACTTTTGGTTCCTCATATGGTCAAAACACCGTTGTTTCTTCCTTGGGTGTTGCTATTTGGACGCACCAAGCCAAACCAGTCCCAGCTGGCTGAAGTTGGTCCAGGACTGCTGGCCGGTTGCACTAGTACTGCTGTGTGCAGTGGTTTTGTCCAACCCAAAGCCAAGCACCTAGCTTTCTCATCTTGCTGTTTCGACCAAAATCGGAATCAAGTGATAGTTTCCGCGCAGACTTAAAAACTGAACCCACTGGCAGTGGCGAAATCATTGTGCTCAATTTTGACCTACTGGTCAACATGATTGGCATCTACTTTGGAGCGTGGCTGCTCATCAAGCGGAAGCCAAAGGATAAACATAAATATAAACCAATGCCGCCCAGTGTCAAAAGGACCATGGATTGACCATGATTCTGGTAATCACCGCAGAGCGTGTTCATGCAGTAGCCCGCCACGAATGGGGTGTCTGTTTTACGCACATGCGCCTGCAGCAGGTTGTTATGGTCGGCTTCCACACACTCATCACCTCAAGCGCTTCATGATTGACATGCACTGAAATAATGGTGACCCCGGATGAATACACCCCTGGGGTGGGAACCCCTCCAAAAGTGATGAATCTCCTAAACCAGGCACACCCTCATATTAAGCAGGGAGTTATTCATTCGAAGTCATCCTTGCGGCTTGCGTCAGCTGCATGTGCCAACAAAACAACGAGTGCAGGAAAATACGTGATGTGCAACAACGCTGAGTATAAATAGGCACAGCTACAAAAGAAGCAACGAAACTTCAAAAGCAAATCTTTCGTGCGTGTGCGTGTGTTTGTGTCTTTGCCTTGCCGCCAAATCACCACATCCAGTTGCTTGCACCGGGCTGCCGCAGGCAAGGTGTGTCAAGAACAGCAAGCACCACATGCGCGCATCCATCATGTTCAAATGAAATCTGCAACCAAAAGGCTGCACAGATCCAGGTGCTCTGAAAGGTGTTTGGATCAAAATGAAAGAGCTCGGGTTACGCAGGATTTTGTCTTGGAGTCCACTTTTTGAGCCACAGCCAGGTGATTTTGTGTTCCAATTTCCTGATCAATGCCCGAGACAACCTCCTTCACTCGCAAGATCACAGCGCCAAACCAATTGGACCGCCAACCTGCGGAAATCTGAAAGCACACCAGCATTTGCGACTCGACATGTTGAAAACAAAATCGTTGACACGTGTCAAGACAATCTTACCATAAGCCAACAAAAAGACGACTGTTTAGTCCATGACCGCAGAGCGCAAGACATGCATGTACCAAACTGGTCATGAGCAAACCCTTCACACAACACAATTCGGTTCCTAGAGCCTCCAAAAGTTTCAGGATTGTTTGCGAGAAAAAATAAGCAATTAAGCATTGTAAAAGACATTGCTAATTAAGCGTTGCTTCTGAGTTGCGCAACTATTAAGGCGCATATCAACCAACCTTTGCAACCAAACCCTTGACACTAAAGGTACGCCCCACCTGTCAGAATCCTGTTCACTGCGAAACCCAAGAGAGGACACGCAACCCAAAAAAGATGCAACGAACTGAAACGTATTGCTCTGCGTCTTTTTGACTGGTGTTGCTCAACCCCATGCGGAGCATGTGATCATACCCCCTGGTCAATGTGTTCAAGCGCACTGCAGATGTTTTCCCCACCCGCTAGGGTGTGAAATCTGTTCACTGCTTGAAGCCAAGGGAGAACACGCAATCCAAAAAACAAACAAATTAAACGTATGTGGTGGTTTCCGTGCCAGCTGTCCAGGCAATGCAAGAGGGCCAGCTGCGCAAACTGAAGATCCATCCTCCAATGCCCACAGCACCACCTTCTGTGCGTACATCTGCTGCAGGTTTGCAGATTAGCTGGAGTCTGCCTCATGGTGGGCATGCGGTAATTGAAGCACTGCAGCCACTCCAAGCTGACTGCTGAGAAATCTGCAGACTCAGGTGGCGCTGTGGAACTGAGCGCAGAAACAAACGCCGGCCGCAGTCGTACGTTGACTAAGGACTGCAGGTCAGCAGGCAGCTCTGTGCTTAAGCTGGTCACCGATGCGCCGCTACAGCCAGACTCATCGGGATGCAGAATCTGTTTGCTGCTTGAAAGTTGAAGCTGTCTCCAACGAAATGCCATGTGCGTTTTCTGGCAGAAAGGCACCTGACATTACATGCCAATGCGTTCTGATGCTACAGGGGAGGCCCCAGAAAGCGAAGCCAGAAACGATTGACATTTTGGGACCTTGTCTTGAGGCCTCCAACTCAGCCCTCAAAAAGAACGCTGGCACAACTTCCATCAGAGCAAGAACGCCCCGTCCCATGACTCGCAACTGCCCCACGTGAGCAGGCAAGGTGGTTTTTCTGCGGAAATTCAAGAGTCTGTACGAAAAACAAGACAATCGCCGCAGCTACTTGCGCTTTCCCCCTTAGCAAACAAGGAATCACACGCCCACGACTCCGCCGGACTCCGCCACGACTCCGCTACTTGAAAACAAAAAAATCACCTCAACGAAACGCAAACTCAGGATTCTCACGCGGAGTCGCGGAGTCCGGCGGAGTCGTGTTTGGGACATCCGGTGAAACATATATACTATTATATCAAACCCGGACAGCGCAGACGGCCCGACGTTGAACAGCAAACAACACACCTGCGCGCAACCAACCCAAACCGAAACACAACCGCTCACAAAAACATCGACGCTAACCATCTACACACGCACGTGCCCAAACAACTCGTCCGCAGTTCTTTTTACCGGGATTGCTGAAAGTTACACTACTTCCAGGGCACTAGTGCGCGTGGAGCAGGAGGCACATTGACCCCCCGAAATGTAAAAAGGCAAGACAATGCGTGTCCTTACGTCTAAATACAGTGCTTGGGCACGGCATGCGTACCCACGCCTCAAGGACCGGAGACCAAAAGTCCGGAGACTGAGGTCCGGAGACGAAATTGGTCCAGAGATCTGGTCCGGAGACCAAAGTACCCGGAGGCCACCCATGAAAGTGCAGAGAAACTGCTACCTGTCTTGCAAAGCCTGGCATAGGGCAGTGCAGGGCGGGTGCGTGGGTTTCAAGAAATGAAACCGCAGGCCTAAAGCGGTGTATGCTGGAGTTACCACTTCCAGGCTTTCGGACGGCGTTTGATGTGCAAGGATACGTGGCACCAGTTTGCGCTCATGCATCCAGTGCAGCCAGGTCTAGCGGAGTTGGAGTGCAGTGGCAGTGCTTGTCGGAAGGAGCCTGTTTTCACCCTTCCTACGCCTATTTGGGCCAATTGCAGGGCTAGGGAAGGGGGGTATTCTACGGTCAGCGTACTCACGCCTGCAATGCTTCTTTGATGCTTGTATGAGTGCTTACAGGGCCCGTATTTTCGAACTGTTGCTGCCGAAAGCCCATGACTTAGAGAAGGCTTTGTAGTTAGCCTCTTCCAACCAGGACATGGCTGATGGTGGCTGCTCCCAAATGCCCACGCCCTTTGGAGACCACTGCTCTGAACAGGGCTCTACCACGGTCGTGGATGGTTTTTCTATCCAGCAATTTTTTACGCCCCGCCCGGGCGAAGTTTGAGTCTGGAGTATGTGGCTTTGGCCAAGCGCTGGGTTCGCGTACGGAAGGCAAGGCTGGCGTCAGGGCCGTTTGCCCTGGCCCCTGCGATGGTGAACACGGTTCATGAGGCCGTCGTGGGGCAAGGCCGGCGGAGGCATGGCTGCCCGATCATGCGCCGGTCCAAGATCCGGGCTGTTTCACGTGTGTTTATTGATCCATGGCAGGATGCTTTTGCTGGCAGCCTACTATGGCACACACGTGGGCGAAAGGGCACTGGTCATTAGTGCAACTGCCCGTGGTTGCGCCGGCAAACCTCTCTACCTTTTTTGTAGTGCACCACTCTGCCTTGGGCTTTGGCGAAGGCGAGACTCCTTTGGATTTCATCTTGCCTTTCTTGGTGGGCGTGAAGGCAAGCGGGCTGGCTCTTGGGTCCCCCTTGGTGTTGTGGGGCGTGGTGGTGCTGGCACGGATGGTTTGGACATTTTTTGGCGCAATTGTAGAAGGCTGTGCACATCGTTCCTCATGTGCGTCAGTTCGTACAAGGCATCATCTAGGGACCATTGCTGCCCTAGAAGGTCGGATATGGCTGCCCAGAGCTTGCGATCGGCTGACAGAAGCCTTTTGGGTATTCACCGTGCGAAGGCCCAGGCTGGGATCTGGCTGTGTGAGACACAGGTCGGCTATCTTCTTGTCGAAGGCGCCACCCCGCTGCCAGCGAGTGGTGCTCCACAGACACTTCTGGTGTGTCGTCAAAGAAGGCCTGACTCAGGAGCTGTAATTCCGAGCGAACTGCTCGGGCCGACTTTGCGCGTTCCTGGTATTGCCGTGATGAAGGCGATACTGCCAGACCACCCACTTCAGGGACTGCCCGGCTTCAGGCCCTCGTGCACTAGGCTCAGAAGGCGGATGGACGGCGTGGTGTCCACGTCGCTCACCTGGGTAGTTGGATTTGAAGGCTTCTATCAGGCTGGACACGCGTTCGGATGTGAGCTTGGGTGGCAAGTGTCTGCCCAAGATGCGATTTGATTGGGCTGTGTGCATGGCGATCCAGAGCTGGCGGCCGGTTCGGGAGGCTCTGAGCGCAGGCTCAGCCGATGGCACTCGGCTAGGGCTTTCCTAAGGCGCGCTGCTGCCACACTAGATTCTGGATCCTCTATGTTGTTGGCTGTCCAGAAGTCCCTGGCAGAAACTATGAAAGGCTGCAAGTCTGCAATGTTGGGGAAGGCGAAGGCGAAGTCAGAAGGGCAGTCGAAACCTCTGGCCGACCTCTCAGAAGGCGTACCTAAGTATCGAATCGTGTCAAATTTCGGCGGTGCTGCAGGGCATGAACGTTGATTTTAGCACAGCACGGCCACGCACGCCTTGCGTTTGCAGAGCTGCATGTCTGGATGAATCTGATGCACGGGGTACGAGCAATGCTTCAGGTGCAAGCCACAAGCTGTCTGTACTGAGTTGCCGTGAGTGCACTGCACGGCATGCACGGATCCCCAGGGCACAAGGCGGATGCCAATTGAGTCGACTGCAAGGGCTGGCTCCTGTGTGCAAGGCGAGAGATCTGGTGAGCATGCCTGCTCCTCTGGTGGCTCTTCTTCGGATTCGGCCTCCGAAGATTCCAAGGCGGCTCTTGCCACGGCAAGTGCTTCTTCATCTGCATCCAGGGCTGTGGACAGCAAATTGTCCACCTCCCTGTGATACAGGAATCTTGTCAGGCTGGGAGGGAGGCTCTGAAGCTGCAGATGGCTTGGAGGGCTGCCCTGTGGGACCTGAAAGGCTGGTTCGACGAGTGGGATGAGTCCGCCTTGCGGCGCATCATCCAGCAGCAGCGCAAGATCACGGAAGCGTCCAAGAAGTTGGAAATGAAGAAACTGTACCAGGTGCTTGTAGTCATCGACGACTTTGCTGACACGCCGCAACTCCACAAGCCGCACGGCGGCCGTGCGGGTACATGCAATTCCTCAGGCTGCGCAACCAGCACGAGCTGGACGCCGTCATCCAGGAGCTGAGCGCTCTGCTGCCGAAGGAGCAGCTGTACCGGCTGTATGAGCAGGCGACCCGAGAACCTTGCAGCTTCCTCTTCGTGTACTACCTGAAGCCGAAGAACAAAATGTTCTACAAGCGCTTCGAAGAGCGTGAGAACATCTTCTGCTACACTTCCATTGCAGCCGTCCAGCCGCTCGTCCGCCGGACGGGTGGTTTTCTAAAGAAAAGGATGACAACGATCCACGTGGGCAGCCGGCTCGGACAGTGACTTTGAGGTCGTACACGGGCGCCCGGCTGGCACCTGGGTCAGCTCCAACTTTGCCACTGCCACCCATAGCAAGACTACAAACAGCCTGAGCGCTGCCTACAACGGTAACCGGCTGATTCTGAACGACCTGGAGCAGCAATTTCCCAGATGCAGCGGACTACCCCGCCGCGCCGCCCGCCTCTCCGACAAAGCCCTTCAGTGGACCACATGGCTGGGCCCAAGCTTCGTC